AATGAAGGGGGCCAGCCCTGTGGCCCAGTGGTTAAGTTCATGCACCCTGCTTTGGTGGCCCGCAGTTTCACCAGTTTAGATCCTGGGTACGGACGTAGCAACGCTCATCAAGCCATGGCGAGGCAGTGTCCCACATAGCACAACCAGAAGGACCTACAACTAGAATATACAACTACATACTGGGGGGTTTTGGGGAGAAGAAGAAGAGAAAAAAAGAAAAAGATTGGCAACAGATGTTGGATCAGGTGCCAATCTTAAAAAAGAAAATTCATGAGTGGATAAACAAAATGTGGTAGGTATATTCCATACAAGAGAATATTATTCAGTCATAAAAAGGAATGAAGTACTGATACATGCTACAACGTGAATGAATCTTGAAAAAGTTACGTTAAATGAAAGAAGCCAGACGCAAAAGGTCACATATATAAAATTCTATTTCTATTAAATGTACAAAACAGGCAAATCCATAGAGACAGAAAACAGATTAGTGGATGCTGAGCGCTAGAGAAAAGAGGGAATAGGGAGTGACTGCTAAAGGGTAGGAGGTTTCTTCTGGGGTGATGAAAATGTTCTGGAATTAGATGGTTGCACAACTTTGTGAATAGATCAAGATCACTGAACTGAACACTTTAAAAGGCTGAGTTTTATGGTATGTAAATTATCTCTCAATAAAAAAGATTAAAAGTAGACAAAAAAAAAAAAATAGACTAGCTTAGATCCAATCCAGAAAAACAAAGGCAAAAATGCTGAGAAAAGAGAAATATCTGGAGAATACTATAGATAGAAAAACATCAGCTTTATCAGAAAAGATATTCATGTTTACCAGAGGAAGGGTAGAGACCTAAGGAGCAAACAAATGCAAAGGTGACTACTATAGCTAAGAATATCTTGCTTTACTATTAAAATTTATCTATTTGATTTTAAATTAAATACTTAGTTTTGAATGTGCTATCATAGACATGATCTCAAGTGAAGTCTTCCTGGAAATTTCAGTTGCGTCCACTAATAATAGTTTTGAATCACACGGTAGATTCTATTACATCTATCATATCTATTAACCTACTTCTTGGCCCAATAGTTGGGGCGTAGGAGGGATAAGGACCTCTAGCCTAAATCCCCCATTAACTTCCCATTCTCCCTCTGCATGCCAACAGCACCTGAAGCTACCAGGACGGCAAGTCCTGTTAAGTGTAAGGAATCAAACACTCAAGCCTTCTACATAGAATTCTGTTAGAGAATTAGCTGAGCCTCTCAATATAAAAAGTTAAGAAAGTTATAATCACTGGCTCTTTCACTACCCCAAATATACACCAGACTCTTGCACTCACATTCACACTCGTTCCCTGACACACAGAGATAATAAACTCAGTGCACAAAAGGAACGAGATGAGGAATACAGGAGAGGATTCTTCAAAAAAAAAAAAAAAAGAATGTTACTACAATAGATGCCCTCCTCCACCCCAACACTTGAGTGGAGAGAAGTAGGGAGAGTGGCTTAACCAGGTTAAATTGTAGCACGGACCTTTTTAAGAAGGACTGCACCAACAGCCCAGAGTATGGAATTATCCAACTAGAGAAGAATGGGGTAAAAAAGCTGCTCTGGCTGAGGAAGAGATGAGGGACTTCAGAACCCCAACTATTCTGCCTCTTCTCCATCCCTGCGTTTGGCTTCACTAGAGACTATTTTGGAGAGAGAAAGCAGGCCAGCAGTAACAGAGGTCCAGACCATCAGATCTTATAAGCTTGTCCCAGGTTAACTGACAACTAGTTAGTTAATTCACAAACTCCTACCAACATAAATGCCGTAAGCAAGCAACTGGTGAATTGAATAATTTCTTCCCTCACACCTAGAAAGCTTCTAACACATGACGCATTATGATAATCATCTTTGACTGTACAGCCCACAATTTCCCTTCAGAGATGTTGCCCCTTCCTTTCCCTCAAGCTATCAGGATGATTTCATGAGTCAGGTTTGTGTGATGTGACTCTAACCTCCTGGCTACAGATGATTAGAAAAGAACTGGACCCTCACCGGAACTGGAAGAAAGGTGTGCAAGGATTCTACGGGTCACTTGAACTGAAAGCAGCCAAGTGTAGGGTTGCCATAATCGGCTAGGAGCGGACAAGATCTCTGGTACTGGCTCACACAGCAGTCTCAAAAACTGAAACTGTCAGGCCTCTTAAGATACTACAGGAGTTGCCTCATCAAATCACCCCCTCCCCCAAGCCTAAAAAGCAAAGGAACAGGAGTCACTAAAGAACAGTGAGGATGATCTTTCCCAAATTCCCAACCTCCAGTCCAGAAGAAGGCAGCACCAGCCAAAAGTGACCTGCTCTGATTATACATGCCCCTAAGGAGTGGCCCTGAATGACAACAAAGATAATGGAAATCTTCCCAGCAATATCAGTAGCCAAATCCGTGGCATCCAGGTCGGCTGACCATTACCTTTACAGCCAAGAAGTTAGCCAACAAACTAACACCCAAGATTTTTCCTCATCCTTTAACTTACTTTACTATCACTACGACCACCAGAATACATTCTGAAGTGAGATCACTTGGAAAGCCCTAGATGTTTCTTCCCGTTTTCCTCCTCTCTAATCAGATTTTTAGTCAGTCGTCCTGTTTTCCCCCAATATTATATGTCACCTAAGAAAGACGTTGGTTATTTATCATTCAATTTAGTCCACAGATGGCTAGGAGCCCACCTGGGCCAGATGGAAACTGAAAACACCAGTACAGCTCAGACTCTGAAAAGCACTGACTCTAAAGCTAGATGGTCAAAGTCTCAGGTCTTCCGGGCCCAGCTGTGTGATGTAGGTCTGGTTACTTCATCTCTCAGTACCTCAATTTCTTCATAGAATTGTTGTGAGAACTAAATAAGTATATATATGAAGTGCTTAGACCAGAGTCAGGCATGTAATAAGGACTACATTATAATGGGTATCTGCCATCATCATTACTATCATCATCATTGTTTGCAATGGGGGGAGAGAGACAGTTCATCTTAAAATGTAAAAGATGCTCCTGAGCAGCTAAGGCAGAGACTGGGGTGGATAACTCTTGCAGCATCTACACAGCCCATACCCTCCCCTCCTCTGAAAACTCTTCGCAGTTAGTCTCTGTTGGTCACCTAATGTGAACTGTGGGGGGAGGGGGCCATCTTCTATCAAGTGCAGAGAGAAGCAAAGACAGCTGATTTACAGAAAGATATGATGAAGCTGACCCACAAAACAAAATGGAGGCGGGCAGAGAGGGAGAGATGGGGGCTAGACCAAAAAGAGAGGAAAAAGAAAAAGAGAGGAAACTAAAGTTTTCCAACCACTTTCCAGTTCCTGCTTCCACTCCAACCTAAACATCGTCCTTTCTGCCCCATACCAGTAAACACGTTGTCCGCTTTTTGTTAAGCTTTGACCAACAAAATTTACAGAAGTCTAATACAGGTCTTGGGAAAGTTTTCATCAATAAAAAATCTTAGAAGAGGAAAAGTTGTATACATCTGTTACTACACAAAAATTAAAATGACACTGCAGGTAAAAATAAATTTAACTTCAAACTTCAGTCTTCTCAAGCTACCCTAAACCTAATGCATGAATTTATACAGGTGAGGCTCGGGCCTGGTTGCCTCTAAAGCTCCACAGGTGTTAAAAGCTCTATAGCTGGGGCTCTGAGATATTAAAACCCTCACACTTATCAATATGAACACCCTTTACCTACTATCATGGTTCTCTTATTACACTAGCATAGGGCATAAAATGCATAATATATTTTTCTCTTTACTGGGAATTAACTCTTTTTGAAACAGGAGGGAAAATGGCAGGCATTAAGCAAACTATGCAACAATCTCCTTTTAGATCAGAATCATGAATATGGTCTTTTGCTGATATCCACCATACCTGCCAAGTAACCTGCCAACATTCGTCCCCCACCCCGGCCCTCGCCGAAAATCAATAACATACAAAACTGTATCTTTTACCGGATTCCTCTTCCTCCTTATTCTGAAAAACTAACCCTAACATTATACGTCTATGTTGTGCAAACTGGTTGCGGTTAATTTCAAGTTCACATTCATCTCTGCTTTTTTTTTTTTTTTAAATCACAGTTTCTGTCTTTTAGGATCCCATTTACGCCGCCAGTAATTCAGCGACCCATAAAAAATAAATCCGGCTCGTTTATCACAGTTTTGTTTCAGTTGAGGACTCTGAAGGTTATCAGCCGGGGGAAAAATATCTTTTCCGTTCTACCCCCAGCACACCCATTTCAAACTTCCACTGTACAGAGGCATCAACAACAAAGTTGTGACCTTGTTCGAAGGCTAGGAAGAAAAAGGTTTTTTCCTCAAGAGCAAAACGAGTTCACAAACCTCCTGACAACACGGACTTTGCGGATTTCTCGCCACGGCACTAAGAAATTGTCAAGGTGTGAGGCCGATTATCGAAGGCAGGGTCCCCAAAGACCACGCTTCTCTCCAAGATGCTGAGGAGGAAGCGCTGCCCGAGGAAGGGGCCTTTCTCCTGACAGGTCGGACTAACCGGCAGCATCAGCCATGGAGCAGAGAGAATTCCTAAACGCAACTTCACATTTCAGAAAACAGTCTCGCACCAAGTCAGGAGCATGTAGACTTCGGAGTCGCCACAGACACGTAGACCCCTCGCGAAGGCGGAGGAGCAAAGGCTGCTTCCCACCTCAGCTCTTAAAATAAACGGGGAAGACGGGTCCCCACGAGCCGCCCCCCCTCCCCGAGGGCGGCCCCGGCCCCTCGCGCCAGGTGTGCGGACCCCCGGCCGGACCCACCGGCCGCCGCGCCCGGGCCCAGGCCCGCCTCCGCCGCCTCGCTCCCCTCCCCCGGCCGCCGGCGCCCGCTCGGACGCGGGCCGGGGCTCGGGGCTCCACCAACCGGTCCCCGGGAAACAAGAAGGTGGCGGCCGGCGACGTTGCGGCTTCCCCGCCTCCCCTCCCCTCCCCCACGGCCTCCGCTCTCCACTCCCGCGCCCCCGCTTACCCTCAACTCCTCGAAATCCGCCATTTTATACCACCCGCGGGCGCCGCCGCCGCCACAGCACCCCCTCCCGCTGCCGCCAAGGACGCCGCCGCCACCACGGCCGCCGCCGCCTCCAGCACCATCCTGCACTGGGCGCCGCTAAAGACGCCGCGGCCGCCGCCGCTGCCGCCGGGCCCGTCACGTGACCGGCGCGGGAGCTCCGCCCCCGGCGCGCGCGGCCCCGCCCCCGCCCCCCCCCCGCCCGCCCACGCGCCCCGCCACCTTCCGCCCGCGGCTTCCGTCCGCGCTCCCGGCGCGCGGCGTGAGTGTCGCCTGGGCTTCCCGCCCTCTCCCGCCGCCCAGCCCGGCGCCGTGCCCTCCGCTGTCCCCCGTGCTGCCTGCAGTCCCCGGCGCCGAGGCTCGGCCCGGCTCCCTGAAGCGGCGTCGCGATGGCAGCGTTCCCGGCGGCCCTGAGGGGGAGGCAGGCCCCGGGGAGCGGCGGAGAGGAAGAGGGGGGCCGGGACCCGTGACAGGAACGTTTCGGGAAAATTCTTACGGTGCCCTTCCCCGCTGTGGCTGTGGACGGAGGAAGCAGCCGCAAATAAAAGCATCCCCCGCGGCAGTTGGGGCGGAACAATCTAGATGTGGGTGTTGGGTAAGCTATTGTTCCGATCTCCTGGTGCGGGATTGGTGAGGCCTCTTAGATTGCTGACATCCTCAAAGTCCTCACCTGGCTGATTCTTTCTGACTTTGAAGGGCAACTGAATGTCACAGACTGCAGAGTTGGGGGCCGGGGATGGGCTGGGGGAGAACTGAAATAAGAGAGCACTCAGAAGGGCCCTGATGAAAAGTCTAGGGGTCGGGAAAGTCAGATAGCTAGGAAAGAATGAAATGCCAAAAGCGGAGAACGTGGAAGGATGCTCCATGGCACCCCTGACGTGCTGACAAAGGATGAGGGGAGATGCTGACTGCAGCTGGTCCAGAAATTCGCTGGACCAAGTCCAGGGTTCAAATTTCCTGGAAGAGGTGGATGGAACCCACCCACAAAAAGACTTTAAAACACTTAATACAATTTACAAGGCCCTGTTTAATCTGGTTCCTACCTACTGCCTTTTCCCACGCCCCATCTCTCCACGAACACTGCACTTGTTTCAGTGCCTCCATCAGTCTCCCCTGGACCACCACTATTTAAGACCTCTGATTGTTGATCCCTGGGCCGAGTAGTAATTTGCCGCTTTTTCCCTCTTCACCTCTCTAACTCTTGGTCGTTCTTCAGGTCTCAGTTTAAGTATCACTTCAGAAAGACCGGTAAACCCAGATGCCCCGTTTTAATTCAAGTCCCTCTTAATGACCTATCAGGCCCTGAACTTCTCCTTCATATTTTTCCATGGTAATTAGGTATTTGTGTGAGTATTATATACATAATAATAATTGTTTGGAATTTATATCTCAAATTTTTTTTGAACCCACTAAACTGTAATGACTGATAAATGTCTCCTATTTGTTTGATGAATGAAAGAATGAATAAACAGTATCTAGAGTAGGTTTTAATTCTGGCTCTCCACCATTAACTTTGTGATCTTATCTTGGCTTAGTCTTGGTCTTAACTTATTCTCCTTAGGCCTTGGTTTCCACTTCAGTAGAGTTTAACATTGTTCAACAGACATTAAGTGAAGGCCACTGTGGGCTAAGGACCAACCCATCTCATGGGCAAGAATCACCAAAAAATATCAGACACCCACCCTACCTATGTACTTGAATCACCAAAAAATTGACACCCACCCTACCTATGTACTTGTCAGTTTTCTTGAGCCAATAGCTTTCCTTTACTGTTTTAGATAGTTTGAGATGAATTTTCTATTAGTTGCTACCAAAACAACTCTGAAATAAAATGCTTCTTTGTCTCCCCAGGCCAGATTACTAATTTGGCGTCTTTTCTAAACTATACTCCGTAATATTACTTCAATATTTGTTTAAAGGAAAGGCTAAGTGGTAAACGGTGAGAAAGGTGACTTTCTCTTTTCTGTCATGAGCAACACAGCTCTGATCCAAGTTTATATATCCTACTCATCAAAAAGAAATCCCCAGGGGGACGGCCTGGTCATGCAGAAGTTAAGTTCGCACGTTCTGCTTCGGCGGCCCAGGGTTCACCTGTTCGAATCCCAGGTGCAGACCTGGTACCGCTTGGCAAGCCATGCTGTGGCAGGCATCCCACATATATAAAGTGGAGGAAGATGGGCACAGATGTTAGCTCAGGGCCAGTCTTCCTCAGCAAAAAGTGGAGGATTGGCGGTGGGTGTTAGCTCAGGGCTAATCTTCCTCAAAAAAAAAATAATAATTAAAAAAAAAGAAATCCCTGCACTTACTTGCACCTTGCTTCCTTATAAAATGGCATAACATATCCCTGGAGGGGAGTGAGGAAGGAGGGAGGTACAGTAGTCTCACCACCACTCTAGGCCACATATCAAAGTACCACTCCAGCCACATACAGAATTCATTAAATACAATCTTCTCATTACATTCTCAATGATAAAATGTGTTAACAGTCTTTATGGATTGAGATTCTAGGCATTTACCTGGCTGGGCCACCCCCTTAGTCTGGCTGCAGTTAAAGAACATTCTAAGTATTGTAATTAAAGTGTCTGAAGATCACATTACATGGAGTCAAAAGTCTCAGGAGTGGCTTTTCCACTTATTACCTGTGTAACTTTAGCAAAATCTCAACCCAGTTTTTGTAATCTATTTCTGATCTCAGGATGTTCGAGGGTTACATGAGATAAGGTATATGAGTGTACTTTATAAACTCATAGGGTGATAGTTGATAAAATTTTTTTGTATCTAAAGAGCTGATAAACACACACCAAAAAAAAATATTGAGTAGCATTCACACAACCATTTGATATATCCTAGTATGTTTAGAAAAGAGTATTCAACCTAGTTGGACCATGCATGAAATACTGAGTTTACTTTTGAGCACCTGTCTTGTTACTCCTTTCCCTTCCTATCTCTGAACCCGTCCATCTTCCCTGATCTCAACATCTTTTTCCTTTCCACTGATTTCCTCTTCTTTCCCTATAACTGTGTTCAAACCTCCTAGATAATTTCAAGCCAACTTTCTTCTTTTGCCAAGCATACATCTATTTTAATCACATTTCTTCATTCCTTTACACTTTGTAGGTAGTGTTTGGCCTTAACCTTTACCAAAACTAATAATCAAGGAAACTGAACAATGAATTTAACTTTTAATTTTATATCCCCAACTTTTTATTCCAAAATTTTTAAACACAAAGAAAAGTTGAAAGCATAATACAATGAACACCTGTATACATTCCAACTAGATTTAATAATCATTAATATTTGAACAATATTATTGTTAAGGTATAATTTACATATAGTGAAATCCTCATATCTTTTTTATTCTTTTCTCTTTTTTTTTTTGTTTTTGAGTAAGATTAGCCCTGAGCTAACATCTACTGCCCATCCTCCTCTTTTTGCTGAGGAAGACTGTCCCTGAGTTAACATCCGTGCCCATCTTCCTCTACTTTATATGTGAGATGCCTGCCACAGCATGGCTTGACAAGCAGTGTATAGGTCCACACCTGGGATCCAAACAGGTGAACCCCGGGCTGTGGAAGTGGAACGTGTGAACTTAATTGCTGCATCACCAGGCCAGCCCCAAAATCCTCATATTTTAAGCTCTTCAATTAGTTTTGAAAAATGCTTATCAAGATACAGAACATTTCCATAACCTTAGAGAGTTCCCTATTTCCCCTTCCCAGTCAAACTTCCCATTAAAAACAACCAATGATGTGATTTCTAATACTATAGAGAGAATTTTAAAATGAAGGAAAATTCTCTCCTTATTTTAAAATGCTATTATAACTTTGATGCCAAAACCAGACAAAAATTAGTTTCCCTATCTAACTTATAGGCAGATCTTACCCTAGTAATGCAGGGATGTTTTCACACTAGCATATATATTAAAGAACTTGGTAATTTGATCCAACTCTAAGAACCACCAAAAAATCTGGATTAGAAAATCAGAAGCAAATGCCTAATATAAGGAATTATCCAGCCAAAATCTTAGAAAGTAGTATTCCAGGCAGTTAAACCAAACATTTGTCCTGAAGGCATTTGGCAATCCAAAAGTAAAATCTATAAACTGAGCTATGACTTTTGCAAGATTGCTGAGCAAGAGAGAAATAAATCTAGTGCCACAGAAGATGGAAAGTCTAATAAACACCCCCATATTTAATACAAGATCCCATAGGATAAAGATAAGCCAGAAATAAATCAACACTTCCACAAATTGCAATCAGGATTTACAGTAATCAGGAAGTCTCACACTTTGAATGTTGAATAAACAGGTCCTAGAGTGGCACTCCACAGGCATCAGGCAGAAACAACAAAAATCCTCTCCAGTGACAAAGATAGCATCACTTCAAACTTCAAACTATCCTACAGATAATTTTCCAAGTGAAATGACCAGCATATAGTCAAAAATCAGCAAAAGACTGCAATAAAAGCATGCTTACACAAATAAATAAATGTTTGGAAAAAATAATAGAAACTCTAGAATTGAGAGGCTTAAGAACTCAATGGAGAGGTTTAATGGTATATTACACACAGTTTAAGAGGGAATTAATGACCAGACCATATGTTAGAAAACTATTTAGGATGAAGTGCAGGAAAACAAAAGGGTGAAAAATACATAAGAAAATATTAGAGACATAGATTTGAGACAGGGAAGATAATGTTGAAAAGGTCTAATAAATGTCTAATTGGAGTCCTTAAAAAGCAACAAAAAGGAACAGAATGAGGCAGAAGTAATATGTGAAGAGATAAAGTTTGAGATTTTTCAGACTAAAGAAAAACACTAGGTAAAGGGTTAACAAAACTCTTTCCTATTCTGCATGAGAACTTGACCTGCAGTTAACCTTCTAGCTTTGTTCACTTGGAGACATAGAGGTTTATGATAAAAATGATCTCTGATTAGTAAATGGCCTCTGGACCAGAGGGAACTATAAATATCTGCTAGGGATGCCATACTTGGGACTTTCCTGAGTGAGTTCAATTCACCAGTAAAATATAGCAATCTTACATTTGTATGCACCTAATGACATGGCTTCAGTGTGTCATACAGAACTACATTGAGACGTAGACAAAATCCACAAGTACAGTGAAGCATTTTATCATACCTA